CTCCTCCTTTTAACCCCTTTTCCAAAGAAACTGCCAGGTCCCGGCAAAGGCACTCTCGGCCAACAAAAAAAAAACGGACTCCCGGCCGAATCCTTCTGCATACGTATGCGCTGAAAATACTTTGACCCCCTAAGTCCAATGGGACTGTCGTCAAGGATCAACAGTTCCTCTCCGTTCCTTAAATCTTTGTGTTTTTCGTACACTCGTTTAACTTCTTTACGATTATTTCGGCCGTACTCTCTTAATACATTCACTTTTGCGCATCAACGTTGACCACCGGGTGGCGCAGGTCAAGCGATTGATTAACTTGTAGGTGGTGATGAAATGGGTAGGGGGTGGAGAGAAAATAGAAAAGGAATAAAAGCCGTACCACCGGAATACACTTTGCGGAATACAACGAGGAACTTTGTGCCTTACGATTTCTTATTCCGTGGGTTAAATGGGATCTATATACGGATTATTGAGAAAATTCTAATGGAACGAATAATATTTAAAGGAGCAAAGTGCACCGGGGATTCATTGAGCGTAATTCTTCGTTTCGACGGGTAATCAAAGAGCAGTAGAAATAAGCTGCGCCCGGGTGTAATAAATGTGAATGGGATATGAAATAAAAGTAATGCGCGCTGTATGTTCGTATATATATATATTTCTATAGCGAAATTAAAATCGTATACCTTTAGCAGAAGAAATTGCAAGGATTCGCAACGCTCAAGAATATTTTCATTCGCCGTTCCACTTGGCACGTTTTAATCCTTTTGTGGTGACAGTCGTGTATATCTTGGAATGACGATCAGCGTGGGAAGGAAAATATAGAAAGTGAAGGGTAAAAAAATAAATAAAAAAAAATAAAGGCGAAATTTTTGCGTTTCGCTGTAAATAGAAGAAAACAAAATTTGAGAATCGTTGCATACCTGCAATTCATCTATCAGAAATATGTTTGACTCGTGAAAATTGGAATTTCATCAATTTTCAAATTCTTCATCGGGTCTTATAAAATTCACGAAAATACCGTGGGGGGGCCTTTTCGTAAATTTTCTTGCTCTCTTTCTCGCTATTAACTCTCCCTTCGCACCTCTACGTACAAGCAATTCGCAAGAGGAACCAGCCGAATGTAAAGCAGCAAAGGGGCCCTTGGCTTTGCGAATCCCCCTCGGTTTCGCGAAATCTCGCTGAATTATTTCACCGCGGGAGAACTACAGGGGGCGATAAAGAGGCGCAAAGTACTCGGGACGATTTGCAAGCGTCGCGACAATTTATCGTGAGAATCGTGTCGGCGACGTAGTCGTCATTGTCGTTTCTCCTTTAGGCGATTGTAGCGACCGCTTTTTTATTCGTCAAGAACACGCGCGATAAACGTAAAGAATGATACTTTCTTCCCTTTTTTTTTTTTCTCGTCGTTTAAACTTCAGGACTCGAAATCCGAGAAAATTTTATTTAACCCCGTACACTTTGTATATTGAGATCGCAAATTGGGTCATATCATTTTCATTTTTTTTTTTTGAATTTTTTTTTTGTCATCAACATTATCGAAAATTGTTACCAAGCGATGCGCGTGTTCCCTAAGTCGCTGAAAAGAGGACAAAACAATAGTCACCAGTGTGGTTAACAGTGAATTTTAATATGCAGCAAAATATTCGTACAGACCAAACCAATAAGTAAATAAATAAATTACCCTGAAAACAGCAGTGGTTACTATCTCCTAAATAACCAGTCCTATTCCACGCCGTTCCCTCATTTTCTATGCTACCCTCCTTCTTGCTACTAACCAGACTAGTAAACATTACCGTTCCTTTCTTCCGTGCATAGGAACGTTCAAGCCCCATACGTATGGCTATACGTTGATGCGTATATACATATACATACCCTGTGTAAATTTTATTACGTATACCTTGATATATTCCGCATCGTATAAAGTAATCGCGAAACTGTAAGTCTTACGTGTAGAAAATGCTGCCGCATACGCTTACGGCGTCGGCGAAATTCTCCGTGACGCTTTTTAATTAATAAATTCATTACCAACCCGGCAAAGTTGGCACGTGCGTCTCTCCCAGGAAAGTTTAATCGATAACCCATATTGCACGAGCAGCTTTTCTATCCCCGTATGGCCGACCAACGTAACGCGGATTTCCAACCCGAGTTACTCTTACGTTTTTTTTTCTTTTTTTTTTTTTTTAATAGTTTCCCTTGCAGGATATGCAGTAAAATTTGTATGCGCAGCTACGGCTTCCTGCCGCGAAACAATCTGCTACGGGCTTTTTTCTTTTAATACACGTTCTGGATAAGCGGCGCACGGGTACTGAAAGGTCTCGCATTAATTTAGTGCTATTCTCTGTGCAAATATGTATACAGTAAATCCATATAAAATGATTTCCGCTAAAAATACCTTAACCGTACAGATAACGAATTTCCGTGTAAATGAATAGATACGGAAGCTCGTTGCATCATCGTTCTATCATACCGTGCACTCATAACAAAAACAATGTAGAGATGAAAAGATTTTTTGAAAAAAAAAAAAAAAGACTATCAACGTCACACAATGCGGAATTTTTACGTGGGTCTATAGTCGGTTCACGAGTTCCATGTACTTTTTTTATTTTATAGATCGCAAACAACGAAGTCCCCTGCAAGGTACACGTGTATAAACAAATTGTTTTTTTTTTTTTTACAAAATAGGCATATGCCTTTTTTGCACTAAAAACATACGATTTTTCTATTTTCTCATATACATTATTTTATGGGAAAAAAATCACGTGTAATTTCCGAGGAATTGCATCGTATGGCGAACTGTCAGGAAAAAAAACATATCGAACTCGTGAACCGACTATACGTACGCTATAAAGTAACCGCCATTGTTAAGCCAAATGATGTGCATAGGGTGAATGCAGAGAAGAACATAAAGTTACGTCCACGTTTCGCGTTCCGCGATCTCGTTATTTCCAGAAAATCATGCGGCCACCCTATGACGAAAATGCATTTCGCCTATCGGAAGTCGAGACTTTGACGTCAACTTGCGAAGCAGGGTTTAGAGGGAGTAAAAAATGAAGGGGACGTATATATGTATATAAAGGATAAAAAAAATGGTGAAGTAAACGCATACGAGGGAGTAACGTAAGAGGATAGCACGAGGGAAAGGTAAGGGAAATCGGGAGGAGGGTCTTTCGACGCGCTGTGCTATATCGTACGCGCACCCTTTTATATCCAGACGCAGGCGGTTATGACACA